GAACTCACTCTGTAGACCAGGCTGGCCTTGAACTCAGAGATCGGCCTGCTTCTAATTTCCGAGTGCTGGGATTAAAGACATGAGCCACCATCCCTGGCCGGTTCCCTTATTTGGAGAAGGCCGTGATGGTGATGTGGCTTCCAAAGATGCATCTGCTTGCTCTGGCCCAGGGTTCTCTGCTGCTACTCTGTGTTTGAGGGATCTCCCAACCCCCAAAGACTTGGAGAGCAAATATTTGTTGAGTGAATAAGTGAGCCATTCCTTCCTCAGCACTGGCTATGTATGCCCTGCTGCTCTTCGAGATTGAGACAGGTGCAGCAGCTGCATCTATCCTGGGCTCAGGCGCCCTGGTCCTGGTGGCGGTGATGACTCACACCCTGCTCCGGGCTGTTCGGGCCACTCGCCAGGGTCTCCATGAGCTGTCTCCACCGTCCTTTGAAGATGAGCCGACCCGGCCTCCAGAAGACTCCAAAGCTGGCTGCAGGGCTCAGCACCAGCAGGGTACCCATTGCCAGACCCTCTCTGCCCCCTCCCAGGAGTCTGGGGACCCCCCTGGGCTCATGGCCACTGGTATCACATCCACAGTCCTGGGGAGAGCCAGTGAATTCAGTCTGCCTGCTCCCCCCCAGCCTCAGACACAATTGACTGGCAGGGGCCACTGGGACGGGGTCACTCACAAGATGCATAGCATGCTGGGCCACAGACCACTGGACATGGGAAACGATGCTACGCTGGTGTGAGCTGGTAATCTGGGGCAAGATGACAAGATGATGACACCACAGAGATAGGTCCAGCTCAGCTACTGTAGCCAGGGGCCTTCTTCCCTCTGAGTTTATGGAATCCTTGACTCATGGCCTCATGATGCAAAACAGCTGCCATTGTTCCAGCCTTTGCCTCCTTGCTAAGAGGGATAAACAAAGGCAGGGATGGGCCTTTGAGACCTTTGCCTGCATCTCACTGGGCAGACCTTGATACAGGGGAGTCTGAGGTTCTTTTATAGAGGGGAGAGGGTTGGCCTTAGGTTCTGACTCTCAGTGGCTCTCTATCCATTTTACAGATGAGGAAACGGAGGCCTCAGTAGGGACTGTGACTCACCAAGGTTCCCATTTCTGAGCATCAGAGCCTGAACTTGCACCCAGGTCCAGTAACCCCACCCCCATGTTCCTGGAAGAAGGCTCCAGCCTTAGACCTCCCTCTCCGACACTCCCTGGGAAGCTGTGGACGTTTGAAGTTCTTATGTGTGGAGGGAGCTCAGAGCAGCCCACAGTCAGGAGCATTCAGGGATGGCTGGAACCTTGCTGTGGGCTCAAGGCTGAGTGGGTCTCATTGCTGTGCCCCTCTTTCCTTAGCTGTAACACGGAGACAGAAGAGATGCAGGAAACTGCTCACAGTAGACCCTTAGTACAGATTAGCCATGTGTATTAGTTGCATTTGATAACAGCCACATAAGGAAGAAAAGGGCTTGCTCTGGCTCAGACTTCCCCATTTAACACCACTCCTGGTTCCAGTTCTGTCCCAGTCACTTCTGTGGTGATAAAACACCCTGCAAACCCTGCTGCTCAAAAGGGCAGGGACTTCTGGCCTACACTCTGAGGGTGGGGTCCGTCACAGCAGGGAAGGCCTGTGAGGCAGTGGGTCACATGGCCCCAGTCAAGAGGCAGAGAGGTGAACGCTGCCTCAGGGTCATCCAGTCATGGGCTGCTGCACACATTAAGTGTGGGCCACCCCACCTCAATTAACCAGCCTAGAGACCGCTACCGCACAGGCCCAGAGGCCTGACTCCTGTTGCTGGCATGTGTGAGGAAGCAGGAGACTGTCTCCTGAGGGGAGGATGATGGCCCACTGGTCCACAGAAGTCTCCATCCCTTTCCAAACTATACAACCCCAGGAATAAACTCAGATGGTGGTTTGCTTTGTTGATTTTGTTTTGCTTTTTTATTTTTATTTTTATTTTATTTTATTTTCGAGACAGGGTTTCTCTGTGGCTTTGGAGCCTATTCTGACACTCACTCTGTAGACCAGGCTGGCCTTGAACTCACAGAGATCCACCTG